GGAGGAACGAAAAAATATATTATTCAAAACGCGACACGCGACATCACGACAATGCGACAAATGGGCGAAATGTCGCGTTGTCGCGATGTCGCGTGTCGCGTTTTGTTTAATTTTGCTTGTATTTGAGAGGGCGACAACTCAACAATGCGACGCGACAATGTCCCTTCCAGGATTCCATATATTTTGGATAATTAAAAAAACCTATGTAAGGATTTGCATCAGACATCATTCCTGATTTCCGGTATAAGACAGTATTCACTCACTACGCGGAAGAGCGTGAGCGTGTCGCGTTTTAGTCAAAAACATTATAATACATACTATACTCAATATTTTAACAAAACGCGACACGCAACGCGCAACAACGCGACATTTCATCAAAATGTCGCGTTGTCGCATTGTCGCGTGCCTCATTTTAGTCAAATACATTCTAATACATACTATACTAAATATTTTAACAAAGCGCGACACGCGACAATACGACAACGCGACATTTCATCAAAATGTCGCGTTGTCGCATTGTCGCGTGTCGCGTTTTATTAGTAACGGCGGATTTTATAAACTATAACAAGCATGATTACTTTTCGATATTTGGAGTGGAGTGGAGCGGAGTGGAGTGAAGTGGAGTGGAGCGGAGCGGAGTGGAGTGGAGTAGGGTGGAGTGGAGTGGAGCGGAGCGGAGTGAGTGAGTGGAGCGGGGAGTGGAGTGAGTGAGCGGAGTGAGTGAATGAGTGAGTGAGGGGAGCGTGGAGTGGAGTGAGTAGGAGGGTGGAGTGGTGGAGTGGAGCGGAATGGGTGAGTGAGAGAAGTGAGTCAGTGAGCGGAGGGGGGTGGAGCGGAGCGGAGTGGAGTGGAGTGGAGTGGAGTGAAGTGGAATGCGTGAGTGAGAGAAGTGAGTCAGTTAGCGGAGTGGAGCGGAGTGGAGTGGAATGAGTGAGAGTGAGTGGAGCGGAGTGGAGAGGAGCGGAATGAGTGAGTGAGTGAGTAGAGCGGAGCGAAGTGGTGTGGAGTAGAGTAGAGTCGAGTGGAGATGAGTGGAGTGGAGTGGGGTGGAGTGAGTGAGTGAGTGGGTGGAGCGGGGAGTTGAGTGGAGGGAGGGAGGGAGGGAGCGAGCGAGCGAGGGTTGATTTCTGGCACTCCAAGGGTACGCAACTCTGCCAAGCGATTTGACCGCTTTTAAAATCATAATCATAACATTCCATTTTCATGGCGTTTTCCCAAGAAGAATATCACGTTCAAAGTCGACCAAAACTGTATTTGAGGTGCTGGATGGTTAAGTGATATTACCATCTCATTCTACCTGGTATCTAGCCACTGCTGGCTGAACAAGTTCATCAGCGTCGGACAGGACTGTACCAAGAATCTGAGGAGCCACACTGTGGAACATAGTGACCCATTCGTGGACATCACTTGATGTTTCTGCCGATGTGGCCTGAATTTTAACAATATTTGAGTTTTTTCACAACCTGTGAGCTTGATATAGGTGAAATGTCCAAAGTGATGAGTATGTATGGTACTGGGTTTAGAACCTATATATGATCATAGTTTTCTGGTGTGACTAAGAGACTCAACTCTGCACAGCAAATTGCCCCGCCTTGAATGACAAAGCCACCGTGTGCCGTGATTACAATGAATAGTAGCGCTAATAATTTGTCTTGCAGCTAAAACACACTTGATTGGCCAAATACATTTCCAATATATACAATAATTTTCAAAGCAACAATGAAAGATTTCCATTAAGTTCAAGAAAAGTTCTTATAATATGTCGCATTGTCGCGTGTCGCGTTTTAGTGAATTTTTAAGCTTCTTTTTACACATCTTAGATAGGGCGACGCGCGACAACGCGACATATTTTGACCTTGAAAATTGTCGCTATGTCGCGTGTCGCCCTTTGGAGGAATCGAAAAATATTTTCAAAACGCGACGCGGGACATCACGACAATGCGACAAATGGGCGAAATGTCGCGTTGTCGCGATGTCGCGTGTCGCGTTTTGGTTTATTTTGTCTCACTTTACTTGTTCTTGACAACGCAACAATGCGACAACGCGACAATGTCCCTTCTAGGATTCCATTAAAATAAGATAATTTTTTATGTGTTTAAAGTAGCCAGCAAATTCGGAACGGTCGGTCGGGTAAAAAAAAGCCAAGGAATTTTTTTTTTTAATAAAGACAAAATTATCTGAATAATGTTCTTGATTCTCATTTAATGTCATTCTTATTACAATTTCTCGCGTTCTTGGGACTTGTGGCAGCGACTGATTAAAAGATAAACATTTAATATGACGAGGCAGTACGTTTTAGGTTCGAGTTGGAAGGAAAAAGAAAAGTCATGTTAAGTAGTATATCGCTATAAGAGCGGGTCAAAATATAACGCCACATCGTCAGAATTTCAATGACACAGTGAAGAAAACATATATACATTTCTCTGTATTATATACAAATCATTTATCTTATAGTAAATGTACTATAAATTAAAGTCAAATATTTAAAAAAATTATTCTCCTACATGCTTTAAGAACAATTCGTTGTAAAAGATATAAACAATAATTGAAGTAATCAAACTTAAATCCTTAGGGTGAAGGTGAAACACTAGACGTAATGAACTGCTAGGAAATGGTACCTTAGGTACATGTTGTAACTCCCGATTATATTTCTGATTTCACTCCCTTTGTGTTTCTACTTAAAGTATTTAGTTGGGTTACTTCCACTTATAAGTTATCAATTGCAGAAGTATGTCAAATCATGTATTGCCAACTGCCGGTAACACATGGAACAATTCATAGACTTGACTACAGGATCCACATGGTCTTCCAAACCAATTAGTCATAACATCGATGATTGTAGACGGCATTTCGACCTGCCATGGACGGCTGAATATGTCAAATCAACTCTCACTCGCCTTAGACTAGGATGCAGTGATTTGAATTCTCATAAGTGCGACAGACACACCTCTGAAGACCCTTATTGTTCCGCTGAAGACCACCCGTGAAGGTCCGGGTTAGAATTGATCTTCAGCAACCCATGCTTGTCGTAATAGGCGACTAACGGGATCGGGTGGTCAGGCTCGCTGACTTGGTTGACACATGTCATCGGTTCCCGATTGCGCAGGTCGATGCTCATGCTGCTGATCACTCGATTGTCTGGTCCAGACTCGATTATTTGCAGATCGCCGCCATATAGCATGAATATTGCTGAGTGCGGCGTAAAACTAAACTCACTCACTCACTCCCCTGAAGACCATTCTCGTTCCTTCTTGTCTTGATTGTTTCTCATTATGGCCAAAAGCAGCACCATTAAATGAAATTCCAAACTTTTATTTCATGGGAGGTAACCTCAACTCTGGAAATCCTTAGAAACCGCAGGATTCTCATTTGTTATTGTGTGCATTGCTGGAGAGGTGTTTAAACATGTAGCAAGACATGTTTACCTATGCAGGCGGCGTGTAGGTTTACGGAAATACATATGTTTAAACCAAACGTTAGCAAAGCATCACAAGTATTATGATAGAAAATAACCACGTTAATGCAAAAAGATTAATTTGAATCTGCAAATTTCTATCACAATACGGGCTCAGGACCACCAGCAACCTGTAAAAGACCATAGGACTTCTAGCATAATATTGTAGCTCCATGGAACACCATATGTGTTTGTTCACTTTATAGTCCACATATTTCATGGTATTTGATGTGGCATTTCTCTTCGTGTTTCGAACATTGTTGGTACTCTGACAATAAAATAAAATATTTAAATACTGTAAACCATCGGTCGAATAAAATGTTTCTATTGGACTGTTACGAATAATGAAACAGGTTTAAGAGACTTTTAGTTGAGAGTCATTTGGACAGTGTCAGCAATGGTTTGATGAGCATCCAGTAGAAACAAATAATGGCTACAAAGTTAAGATTCAGGAAAATACAATTAAACATATTGAGGCAACACATTAAAGGGAGTTTGGGCTCTATAAAGGAGACTAGATTTTCAAAGTTACAGATATCTCCAACTTGATTCAAAGAGCGATATTATCTGGGGGACGAGTGACTGAGTAAGTTTGGTTTCACGCCGCTTTTAGCAATATTCCGGTGGGGGACACCAGAAATGGGCTGCACACATTGCACTCATGTGGGAATTCGAACCCGGGTCTTCGGCGTACAATATAAATGTAAATATAAAGATAGTGCTGATCACAAACATTTTACGCAAACTCATAACCCCACAACACATCTGACAGTTGGTCCGTGGCGCACACAGTGGGGCCATACAGATCCGTAGGGTTTCAGTCCTGTTTTTAACACTTCCATGGAGGGTCGTTTCATCTCTATGGACCAATGCGTCAATCGTATTGATTCTGCTAATCATACATTTGTGCGTACATGTATATACATTAACAATGGGGCGTCTGTCAATCGATTCTACAAACTGGTAGAAGTACGCGTTCAGTGGCAGTTTCGTTGCACAGTCTGATTAGCAGACAATAGAACAGGTAAAACAGTTCCAACATGTTGACAACAAAAACTTTCTGGTCGTCACAGATCAAGAGTACACGATCGATTGTGCTGTAAGCTGTAGTATGAGTTACGGGTCAGACCAGTAATCGACGAAACAAATGTAAAGAGATAGTGCAACTGAAACACACACACACACACACACACACACACACACACACACACACACACACACACACACACACACACACACACACACACACACACACACACACACACACACACACACACACAATACCGAGAACACACACACACACACACACACACACACACCGAGAAATAAGGAATGCTTATAGATTCGCCAAACGCAGAAGAACCGCCCGGAAAGGATATAGTTGTTATGATAATCATAATACGGTACTGAGAATATGTGTCACTCAGTACAGATAGTCCAAACACCCGTTTTTAAATTAACGTAACACAGATATCACATGAAACGTTTATGTGGAAACAACAACAGGACGGCACATGCAAACTTCATTAAATACCTATCATCATCCTCGATAATCTCCAGGGTATACCTTACGATCACTCTCCATTATACCCTAGATGCATCCACGGCTTGGTCCGATAAATATATTTCCTCCCTTTGCTGGCTCCGCATTCTCACAGTAGCCAATCAGCTACGCCGCCGTTACACCCCAGCTTGCCAATGTCAACAAAGATAGCAGTCGCAGTCGCGAAGGTTTGTTCGTAAGTGCCACTCAGATTGTTTTGGAAATCATACAGACATATTGACAGATTTGAAACTTTAAAACATATATGACAAGGACTTCTTCTACCTCTTTCAGAATACCTCTGCATCAATTGTGTTGCCAAGTATAAACGGTTAGATAATTTAAGAAGCGAAAGTGAGTTGTGATTGGTTCGCTCAACTTCCCAGCGTAGACACCTGATTGGATAAAAAGCCAGCAAAGGGAGGTAATAAAATCATAAAAGCCGTGGATCCATCCAGAATATAGTGGAGAGTGATCGTAACGTATACCCTGGAGATTATCGAGGATGACCTATCATGCGAATGCGTCCAATTATAAAAGATGTTTGAAATTTGATTTTGAAATTTGATTTGATAGTGCATGAGGTTTGTGAAATTGAAGATGTTCGTCACAAAGGTTCGTGGAAAAACTGACAAGTTGTAGTTTGATGGTTTTAAACTTAACTTCAATCAGGTTTCCTTTACACCAGCCCATGCTGTATATACAAGAAGGAAAATTCCGCCATAATGAAACCATACCTCGAAAATCCTTTACTAAGGCCTCAGGAGACATGGGCATGTGTACTCATGTGAAGTCCCAATTGTGATGACATTCAGCTGCCAGAACAATGTACAGATTTGACCAGACGCTCCAGACACATCTCTGGAGACCCTGTTCCGCGGGTCTATGTACGAGGATACTACTCCTTGTTTCTCAATATGACCAAAACACACCACGAAAATGGCATGTCTTCTCATGTGAAGTCCCAATTGTGATGTCATGATCATTCAGCGAACAAAAAGTCATAAACATAGATTTATACTTAAAATACCCCAACATCTGACTCTGTTTCAGTAGAGTTTCAATAAAACCCAAGCCTACTATTCATGATCAACAGCTGTCACTGTCAAACTTCCTGTGGAATACAGGCCAATGTATACAGTGAAGGATCCAAGAATCCAGGCCACAACATTACTGATTACGGGATCCGTGTGCACAGTTCCAAAGGCCAAACACAGAGGATCCGCCTACGTTCAGGTTAATCAGAACTCCCTGCTGAACTATCAGGGTAAGTCACTCAACCTGATACAGGGACAGCCGGAAGTGAAGGCCGTCACCATAACAGACTTGCTAAGTGCACTTCAAGCCATCAGCGGCAGGAACTGAAACTCTGGACCAAGGGTTGTCAATGATATTCGAAACAAACATATGTAATCAAGGTGGGCACATATTGGATCTTACTCAGATATTCATGAAAATGGACAAGCAGACACGGGCGAAACATGCTCTATCAAAAGCGGAAATAACAGATAAAAGGCCAAGTCAATATCCAAAAATGGCAAGCCCAATCGGATGCAAATTAGACAGGCAGGTGGCTCCACAAACGTTGGCCCAAATTCCACAAAGTTGACGAAACAGGAAAGAACCCAAACACATAGTTTTCTTCATTTCAGTGTTGATAATAACGTCTACAATTCAAGAGCCATATTTACGGATGCAATGTTCATAAAACGTAGGTTGGGTCCCCCAGTTGCAGTTTTTTAAAAGTTCTTCATGGTTTTCAACTCCCATATTTTCAAACCGTACAGTACAATTGTGCTAGGTATAGCATATAATATTAAAAGCAATAAAAAATATAGATATGGCTTGAACATGTTTAAAGAACACCACCAAGTATTTTTTTGCTAGTGAGATAGTATTCCTCACATGAAACTTGAGTCTTCATAATAAGACGCATTGATATTTATAAATGGTAACATATTTCATGTTTAGAAAATATTCCTTCATTTTAAGTACAACAATTCTGGTATTGTTCCCCTGGACAGTTATATAATGATACGTTTTGATGTCTATAAGCAGTGTTAGCAAATTAGGCAAGTGCGTTTGTTCAAAATTGCCTCTTTGCAACCAGCAGAAAATGGGTACCCGGTGAGATAAGTCATGTCACAAATAACCGTCTAGCGTCTCAAAGGCAGCTTGGGTTATCCGCGGTAATAATTATCAGATTCTGATAACAGCGTCCAGTGTGCAACTAGTCAGATGGATACTAGGATCTATATAAGTGAATTATTATTAATATGATGGGCAAAAGGTACAATAGTATTGGCGAGTAATGGGAGTACAGGGAGAAACAGTAGTTGTACTATGTCAGGGTGTAGCTGTATATCAGGTATATATGACGATTCAACGTATTGCTATTTCATTAATAGAAGTTGAAAATAGTCAGGGTGTAAGCACACACCCTTATCTTGGTCCAGGTAGGCAGTTGAATTCGTCTGATAGGCAGTTATTGATGGAAACAGTTTCACTTCAAGCCATCAGCGGCAGGAACTGAAACTCTGGACCAAGTGTTGTCATTGATTTTCTAAACAAACATATGTAATCAAGGTGGGCACATATTGGATCTCACTCAGATATTCATGAAAATGGACATCAGACACGGGCGAAACATGCTCTAGCAAAAGCAGAAATAAAGCTTCAGATAAAAGACAAGTCAATGTCCAAAAATGTCAGTTATTTATGGAAACAGTTGGAGGGTAATGAACTTTTTAATAAACTATAATTTGGACAGATCAAATGCTTATTTCTATTGCACCCTATTTACTCTGCTTCCATGTCTGGTAGTGTTCATATAAACATATCTATTATTCATAAAATCAGCCTGACGAATCTTCTCGCATGATACGGCCCAAAATACTTATTGTTGAGTATGGATCGATGCAGTTTACTGAAAGTACTTAAAGGGGTATCTCTGTAGTTATTTTCTATCTTTGTGTTGCCCTTTTCAGACAATGTTACAATCAAGTTGTTATTTCAACCACCAGGAGCAACAGGCAAGGAATCAAATAATGTGCATTATCAATTCAAAATTTCCTGTTATCCAGAGACGTAATGTGGCAACAATTTAGATTCCACCATGATCCCAGTTGTCTAACATCATGTAACTGGGCCAGTATTGGCATCGTTCTGGTCTGTACCGTTGGTACTGGCACAATGTACGACAGTATAGAGCCAGTACTGGACCAATGCCTGTTTTCCGTAAGAGGCCTGTTACAGGCAAAAAAGTACAGAACCACAAATGGGTGGTTACCGTAAATACTGCACCGCAATACTGTACTGGCAAAGTACTGGCCCAGTACAGGCAGTGCACTTCCTGTCTGGTGAATTGTGGAAGATTATCTCAGGACCAAGAGAGGTGGCCAAAAGGTTGAGTGTGATATGTTCTACATTTCTGAATGTAAATTGACTTAAAGTGTCACTAAAAAGTAACGGTATATCGCTTACAGAGACTTCTTTTTCAACTAAGGTTAAGTGTTGAGCTAAATATTTAACAATAACATGCAGCATGAATTTCGCTGGGAAAAGAGCATTTTGAAACATTGCATGTATGTGTTTTAAACATATTTTATTCAAAAAAGAAATGGATTGGGCACGAGTTATCCAACTTAGGAACGCCCTCTCCCAGAAGTTACATATTTCATATTTAAAGTATAAAAACATTGATAAGGGGATTTGTTGAGTGAATTTACAAGATCTTTAAAGATGATGTGTATAGCAAATACAAGGATAAACTACAAAAATCGGCTCATCCAGAAGGGCCAGGAACTCTGAATCAACGAAAGAAGGATGCATCATTTTTTCATCTTGTTTCCTGAAATAAACTTATATGGATAAACTTGTGTTTCTGATGTGTTTTTTCTGGAGTTTGTTTTGGTATCTGCTTGCTTTAATAGTAGAAACTATTTTAAACTTAACCGGGACAGTGCCGGCCAAACTGTAAAGGGCCAATTTGCAACCATTACGGCTGTGTATTGGGCCATACTACTTTGCTTGTATTGCCCCATTTCAACGCCAAGGTGCAAAATAGTACACGCCTTAAATGAGCTTGAATTTCTGAATTTACTGGGGCAGTATATTGGTCAAGTTACGCGATGTTAGCTGGGTTAATGGCCTTTGTTTTCTCATGGATTCGGCTTTGTATGGTTGGTGATGTTAAACTCTTTTTGAAACAATTTCGTCAGCGATCTTTAAATATGTTATATGGCATTCCACTCTAGAAAATAGTTCAAGGTATCACGTGTATAGAACTTTTCAAACAGAATACGTGTCGATGTTAACATCAGAATCCCTTTACGTACATTTATTCGATTGTTAGATCTTATGATTATTGAAGGAAGACAAAATGTCCATTGAAAGATCGTAGGACTTGTGGCCATTATATTCATTCAGCTATTGAAAATGAAATTCATTTTACTTTTGTATGTCCATTTTATTGTGATCTACGAAACAAGTATATACCAAAAGGATATCAGTCAAATTATCCTGTATCTGTTTTTATTTCTCTTCTCTCTTCAAAAGACGAAGCTGTTATATTAATACTAGCTTTATATGTTAAAAATGCAATTTCCCTAAGAAACAAATTGTTAAAGATTAGTGTATATCCGAAACATGTAAAACCCACTTATATGTGACTCCTTTGTATATGGGCCGGAGGCCTTACATGCAATAACTATTTGATTGGATTTTACCTGACATCATGACGTTCCTCTGCAAGGTGCTATAGAGAGATATGATATATCAAAACCACTTTCACTGCTTTCAGTTTGCTACCACCTACAGAAAGGACCCAAGATAAAGTCATTCTTACCTCCAACGAAGACTCTGATTCCATGTAAGACCGCGATCTAAGACTCGATACACCTTTTGGTTTATGTGGAATACCTGTTCTGTAAGGTGATTATAAAGTGGAGTATACTCTCCAAAGATCGATCGTTACGAAAGGTGCTGCTCCGTTTAAGCTGGCGTTGTACGTCAGCTACAAGAATAAGATTTAACGTGTAAATCCCATGTTAATTGTGGCCCCAGGCGACACTGCTACATCCTCTGACAATTGCTCTTGAAAACAATTGTATGGTTTTAGTACACCATATTTCAACTAATGTTTCTGCAAGTGTCTTACTTAACATATATAAGGATACATTTTTAGCTCACAGTTCTGCAGAAGAAAATCAGCATTTTTTAAGCTGCTTTCAAAAATAAGTATTTGGATTAATTCGTGGGTCATCTCAACACTTCCCCTGCCTTGGACCAATCAGTATCAAGCACATGTTGCTTCTGTCTAAGTAAACTTAGACTCAGTATTATTCGTTACACTGCTATACTGGGTCTAACAAAACCAACACTGATCTCCCAACAAATGAAAATTACATAAAACACATATATTTGCCCTGCAGTATATACGCTTTGGGGTTTCTGGTGACATGGTTATCATTAGCTAATATTTCAGCAAGCTGACATGCTTGAATACTGACAAAACGCTATTTTCAGCGACTGTTTACTCACTGCTGTGGCGTGCCTCACTAGGAACCGATCGTACGGAAAATAGCATTCGGAATCGTTCGGTACAAATTTTTGGAGGTAAAAGTTCAAAAGGTATGTGCGAACGTCAACTTTCGCGATTTGGTAAGCTGTGTTCCGATTGGTCAATTGAAAAGGTTATCTGACGCGACCTTCCACAAGGTTTTGTTAGACTCAGTATAGCAGTGTAACGAATAATACTGAGCCTAAGTTTACTTAGACTGACGTTGCTTGAATGTGTTGATTTTTCACAAACCAAACGTTTTAATGTTGACATTTCAGAACTGTTTTAAGTTTTGTATATTTAAAAGAAATACAACTCCATGAAACAAATGGAGATTTTTTCTCAAGAGTCCGTGTGTTTTACCCTTGAGTCTGACATTTGAATGAAATTTAGTGATTTTCAAAATCACCTTCACTGTGTTAAATGTGCTGTAAAACAAAAGACATTTCTAGCCGCGAATAGTAGCAACATTACAGATGCGGACAATAACAAGAATGTGCAAGGTAAGGTGCTGACAAGAATGTGCAAGGTTGGGT